GGCTCTGAGGAAGAGGAGACCACTCCTCGAAATGCGTCAGTATCTGGAGGGTCCTCTCGAGATTGGGAGCTGATCCGGTGTACTGGTTGCTTTGAATTCAATGCGCCTTTGTTATCACAGTGTGTCAGGAATGGACTTTCCAGTGGTGGTGGGACTCACCTGCCTTGTAGGCTGCAGTACCAGGGCTGGCCAGCGGGTGCTCTCAGCAACCAGAAGCTCACTCCTGCAGTCAGCCATCACCTGAGGCTGATTGCAGGAGGTGTATTTAAGGAATGACCAGACCTGCAGTCAGTGCCTTGGTGTATGTTTCCCATGAGCCCCTGTACCTGCATCCTGTCTGCTTCCTGCCTGATTCCTGATTCTGCTTGATCCTGACCCTGAATGAACTCCGCCTGTCCTGACCTCCTGACCACTCTCCAGCCTGCTCCTTTGGTACCTTGTCTGCCTGATTGTTCCTGACCCGGCCCGTCTGACTACGCTCTGCCTCCTCCTTTGTGTCTTGTCTGCCCGATGACTCCTGACTCGCCTGACCACTCCACCTCACCAGCCCTGACTGCTCGTATCTGTGTACATTCCGTTATCAGTTGGAGGTTTTGTTTTGTTATATTGTGCGTTATATTTGTGTATAACCTTTATTAAATTATATTGTTACACCATACTTGAGCCTGCGTTTCCCTGTGTCAGTTCACGCATCTCTGGTCTTACCAGGAGCCCTGACACAGTGTTTGTCAGTATATTTCTCCTGTGAATCTATTAAAGGTATCATCTTAGGCAATGCACTTAGCTGGTGCGCCCTCTTTTTTCCTGTTTCTACAGCTATCATCCCTGGGTTCTTCTCCCCCCACCCCTAGAGGGCAGCAAGGCCTTTGCTAGCACTGGATGTACGAAGGACCAGATACTGTTCCATCCTTATATACCACTCTCCAGCACTGGGGACTGTTTCCTTTTTGTTTAGACATCAATCGGTGTCAGCACGAGGGTACATGCAACACCTGTGCATCCCCGTTTCGGGAAAAGATGAACCAGCTCAGGGAATGGAGCTAAGCACCTCATGTGAATTGGGCCTAATGTGAACATCAGTGTTCATATTTCTAAGCTGCCCCTGCAGTACCGGGACAGGGTCGTCCAGTGCCCAGGGTCAAAAATCCAGAATTGCGCTCCCCCCTCCCCCACTGTTAATACATGCCATAGAAAGAGTGTACCACCCTGCACCTATTTTTTGCCCCCTTGCTTCTCTGCGCCCAGGGCAGCTGCCCCTCCTGCACACCCCTTTTCCTGGCCTTACGCCCCATGTTGATCCTGCCAGTACATCTGTTATTATTTCTACATCTTTTAACAGGTGATACCACGTTTAATGTGTTTGTTCTGCAGTGAAATCGCACAGTAGCATTGTCACCCTGAGGAGAGGGGACCCCTTAAAGGATTTGTAGTCCTAAATTACAAACAAATTAAAGCCTGATTCTGGCTAATGGTGGCCATACATGCTTCGATAAATAATCGGTTTCTTTTCCGATCGATATCTTCCAAAAGGAAGAATTGATCTACAGTTGACAACCATTTCGATCAATCTGTTTCCACCATACAAATGAATAACTAAAACTTAGTTTTTGAACTAGTTTTTGTCTCTGGGCTGCTAGCTGATGCAAAAAAATCGATAAGATTCCACCCTGACCAATTGACTTAATTTGATCACATATGATAGAAAATGAGTCTAAGTCAATTGGAAGGGAAGTTATGGCTATTCAATTGTTTGCAGATTCGAACATTTTGAACGAATCACACAAAAAAAATTTAAGCATCTGTGGCCACCTTAAAGGTGGCTATAAATGGAACATTATATATATATATATATATGTATGTATGAAATGGGATGGTGTGGTTCTCCTACCTCTCCCGCCCGCCAGCTACCCTGTGATTTGACACAGCAGGACTTTGGAAGCAGATCCAGGCCATGAATCACTGATCAGCTGCTGATTGGCTGTGTCGAATCATAGCCCACAGCCCTGTGTTGACAAACAACACAGGGCTCTATACAGAGGGAAAGATCGCTTTGCTTCAAATTGAACTGTAGTAAAAAGCAGCACACATTACAGGCATTACACTTTGTTAGGCACACACTTAATCCCTTGATTGCCCCTAGATGTTAACCCCTTCCCTGGCAAGGTTATTAGTACAGTGACAATGTATATTATTACCACTGATCACTGTATTAAAGTGTCAGTTAGTGTCAGATTGTCCGCCATACTATCACAGTCCCATTAAAAGCTGCCGATCGCTACCATTACTAGTATAAAAAAAAAAATAAATAACATTTCCAGTATATATACCATCATTTGTAGACACTATAACTTTCACACAAACCAATTAACATACACTTATTTTTTTTTTACCAAAGACATGTAGCAGAATACATTTTGGCCTAAATTTATAAAGAAATTAGATTTTTTAATTTTTTTTCATTGAATATGTTTTATAGCAGAAAGTAAAAAATATTGTTTTTTTTTCCCAAATGTTCTGTCTTCTGAAAAATACAAATAGAAGATCAAAGTGTGACATACCCTTAATAATCATATCAGTCTAGCTACTTTTTGTACGATCAGATTTCCCATCCAGACCGAATAAAATAATGTTGATGAAGTTGTTCAGTTTTACTCAAAATCAATTAATGACATGGTAAGTGTCTTTTTGGTAATTCATAGATTTGATCATATCGTCTGATTCTGCGCAAAGATATTTGATCAGATCATTACATGCGTAGCCACCGTAACACATTTTATGCTGTTACAGACACAGCTTGTTTCTTTTGGATAAAAGTTTTAACCAGGGGCGGACTGACAACTCATGGGGCCCCCGGGCAATAGGGGATCATGGGGCCCCTGTGTCCTTGCCCAAACTCAAAAAAGCCTATGAAAAAGGTACCAGGGACATCTCATGGGGCCCCCTACTGACCCCGTGCCCTCGGGCAGTGCCAGAGTTTCCAAATGGTCAGTCCGCCCCTGGTTTTAACTCATATGAATACAGCCTGACTGTTGTCAACACCTCTGTCATTAATTTGTCCAAACTGTAACGTTTGCTGGATAGATTGTCTTGCATGCAAAATTGTAATAAAATATTAAATCTACACAATAAAATATAAATAAATTATGAAAAAAGGGACATGAAAAACAATGGAGTTCACATACTGCATACTATTATTACAGGTTATCATGCTATTATATATACATATCATTATTTTATTATTATTATTAGGGTATAATTGCCTTTATTATTACCTCATACAGTTACCAGAATACAGTATTTTTCACTACCTTTAAAAAAAAAATCTGAAAATTATATAAAATCAAGGCAATAAAATTATTTCCAGGCACACTGTATCTGTGGCAGTGTTTCTTATTTTTCATACAAAAAGTCTCACTTTTCATTCATTGAAACGTCTTGTACTAATCCTATATATCATTGTATCATGCCTTCTTAGTATATTTCAAATAAAAGTATTTGAAGCGGAATTTAGGTAAAAACAAAAATCCTCCGTTGCGACGGGGCTGTCTTGATACTGCAAGGGTTAAAGGTATCTTTAGGTCTAGGGTATCAGAAAAAGTACTTTTACTTACCTGATCCCCCTCTCCAGCAGGCTTCCCCTGAAATTCCCGTAGGCTTCTCCCCTATGTTCCAACAGTCACAGGTCCGCTGACGCCATCAATGCCCATTACTTTGCATTGGATGTAAGGACACCAGGGTACAGTCCACCGCTGGAGCATAGGGAAGAAGAGGAGAATGCCTGTTGCCAGGGGAGGAAGGGATCAGGTGAGTAAAAATGCTTTTTCCAGTCTCTAGCTCTAAATGAGTATTTAACCTTTTCAGAAATCTCATCACAAGAGAGGATTTTAGGATTTTTCCACTCCTTTAAAGTCAGCCTATGGTGAGGGAAATACGGGGGACCATTCTTGGAACTGATATTTCTGGCATTACTTCATGGTGACCCTCTATCTTCATTACTTTCTGAGTCACCAATCCAAAACACTTACTGTGTTTAGATAATGAAGACATAATCTGCACAATTGATTTGGCTGTGACAGCCAGGCAAGTGGCATTTTTTAAGGAAAGGAGAACAAAGGCAGACTCCTTGACAGTTCCTTTAACGTTCTAAAATAAAATATCTGTGATCCAGTTTTGATGTTCAGTGTGCAATATCCCTGTCTAGGATCAGATTTAGACCTTGGGGGGTGGGCAGGGAAGTTCAGGTTCTGGGGGGGCCCACATACACAGAGTTGGTTTACATTCTCAATGACAGTCACACGTTTTTATAATGCACGACACAACCTCAATTTGTGGTCATGTGTGCACACACGCATGGGCATTGATAGCGCTCTATGTGTAGTTTGCTTGGGCTGCCAAAATTAGTTGTTAAAAACGACACAAAATAATAGTACAGAGTAAAAGCTTTTACAAATGATGGCAGGTAAAATATTAATTCCAAGGATACCTTTATGAAAAGAAAGTATTTTTTATTATTATATTTGGTATATTTATATGTATATAGATTGTTATATATATTTTTTTTATTATTTTATATATTTTTTTAGGATTGTTTTATATTATTTTTTGTATACTGAGGTGCCCCTTCTGTCAGGGGGCTCAGGGCAGTTGCCACTTTTTCCACCATATAAATCTGGCACTGCCCGCATCCATTTGTTTTCCCAAGATAATATGGATAGCTATATTCAATATACTGTTCAGCAATGATCCCTATTTTAAATTGTTAGCAACTATGCAAACAGATGTGAAGTCAAATGCAAGACAAGCAGATGAAGAACAATGTATGGTACATTGGTACGGAAAACACTAGTAGAGAGCAATAATTCTACACATACTGCATACGACAAAGTCCTAACTATGTAACCACAACTACAAAACTGAATAAACTGGAACATCAAAACATGCAACAAAATATAACAAGTTACACATGCCTATAACAACAGTGTAACTTAGGTGGAAACACTCTATAAAACCTGAGATATGAAACCACAAGTGGGGATGATAGGTAGTGTCCACTTACCTAATGGTAGCACAATGAAGAATGGTAGCCAGCAGAGGATGAACACCCCAACCACTATGGCCAGTGTTTTGGCTGCTTTCTTCTCCCTGGAAAATTTAACCAGCCTTACAGACAGTGAACTCCTAAAAGTGTGCCCCTTGTTCCTGGAGTTGGCACTGGACTCCCCTAAACTTCTGCAGTGAATCCTGAGGACAACCTCCATGGACTTGTTCCTTTCCCTCTTGACACCAGCCTCTAGGCTCTTGGTGGTCCTTCTGGCCACAATGTAGACTTTGAAGTACATGATGAGGATAACTAGAAGGGGCAGGTAGAAGGAGAAGAGGGAAGAGAAGAGAGCGTATCCAGGTTCTTCAGTAATGCTGCACTGGCTGTCATCCGCTGGTGGAGGCTCCTTCCAACCCAACAGAGGTCCAATGGAGATGACCATGGAGGACACCCACAGGAGGATGATGATGACCACAGCCTTCTTCTCAGTCATTATGGTTGGGTACTTGAGGGAATGTTTCACCCCTACATACCTGTCTATGGATATGATACACAAACTCATGATAGAGGCAGTGCAGCAGAGGACATCCACAGCAGCCCAGATGTCACAGAAGATCCTACCAAAGACCCAAGAACCCAGCACCTCCAGGGTGGCAGAGAAGGGCAGCACAGTGGTGCTTAGAAGGAGGTCAGCTATGGCTAGGTTGATGATGAAATAATTGGTGACCGTTTGCAGCTGCCTGTTGCATGCCACAGACAAGATCACCAGGATATTACCAACAATGGCAAAGAGGATGAAAACTGCCAGGACAATGCCCACACTCAGAGCCTGCAGGTCCAAGGCTGCTGCCAAGGAGGTGCCATTATCAGTCCCATTCCCACCTGGCAGGTAGGCACTTGATTGATTCCACAGACTCTCATTGCTGGGCTCTGACCAAGTCATGTTAATCCAATCTCCTCTCCATATAAGAAGCAGATCCAGATCTCATGGCTGGAGATTGACACATCTTCTCTCCTTGGGTCTCAGTAACACATCTCCTGCACCAAATCCCAGGCTGGCACTCACTCTTTGGTCCCACATGCTGCAAAAAGAGGCAATGAGATGTTCTCCAAGAAGGTGGCAGAAGGAACAGCTCTAAAACTTTTCTCAGTGCCTTGCACCTCCTCCTATGAGTGTCATTGTGCCCAAGGATGCTTCTCTTGAGTCAACTGCAGCACAGAGCAATTGCTACTCCCCTTTAGATTGATGATGATTCAGTTCCCCCCCTCCAGTGTGGGAGAGAGCAAAGCAACATGGCACAGAGTGATGCTGACTCCACTCTCCATGGCAGTCCTGTGCAGTGCATAAGCTCAGCCTTAGCTGCTTGAAAGAAGAAAAAAAAAAAAAAAAAAAGCAGCTCTGAATGGATAAATGAAGCCAACCCTGGCTGTGCTTCATTCACTTTGGCAGGTCCCCTCCCCGCCTCCTTTCATTGCTACTCTGTGATAAGGCGCTGGAATGCTCCTGCATTTCCCTCCATCGCCAGTAGAGGGCAGCAGGTGGTTCCGAGTTCATGGCTACTATACTACACATTGGGATCAATGGGTCTCTGTGTTTTTCCTTGTGTGCTAATGTGGATCTTTCTTCTCAGGAAAGAGGAAGACTTCTCAGGCTGGCCAACCTGCCTACATACTTGTTTTGTTATTGTTAGAGCAAATGTTACAGTTAATGATTTCCTGGAAGAGCCAGGAAAGAGGGATTCATCAAGGGGTACTTGGAAATATTTGCTTGGGATTGCTATATGTATGTCCATGACTTTATTACTTGTGTCTGCCTTCGGTGTAAATACCAATTTGCTCTGGAACTACAATGCCATGCATGTGTCATACTAAAATGGCATCATCCAGCATAGACAGAAGGAGATAAGCGATTTGTAGAACTACAAGAGCCAGCATGCCATGCATGTGTCATACTAAAATGGCATCATCTAGCATAGACAAGCAGATAAGTGGACTGTAGATATACAAGAGCCAGCATGCAATTCATGTGTCATACTAAAATGGCATCATCCAGCATAGACAGAAGGAGATAAGCGATCTGTAGAACTACAAGAGCCAGCATGCCATGCATTTATTACACTAAAATGGCATCATCCAGCATAGAAGGAGATAAGCGATTTGTAGAACTACAAAAGCCAGCATGCCATGCATGTGTCATACTAAAATGGCATCATCTAGCATAGACACAAGCAGATAAGCGATCTGTAGAACTACAAGAACCAGCATACCATGCATGTGTCATATTAATATGGCATCATCCAGCATAGACAGGAGATAAACGATCTGTAGAACTACAAGAGACAGCATGCCATGCATTTATTACACTAAAATGGCATCATCCAGCATAGACAGAAGGAGATAAGCGATCTGTGGAACTACAAGAGCCAGCATGCCATGCATTTGTTACACTAAAATGGCATCATCCAGCATAGACAGAAGGAGATAAGCGATCTGTAGAACTACAAGAGCCAGCATGCCATGCATGTGTTATACTAAAATGGCATCACCCAGCATAGGCACGAGGAGATAAGCGGTCTGTGCAGGGGCGAACTGACAACTCATGGGGCCCCTGGGCAATAGGGGATCATGAGGCCCCTGTGTCCTTGCCCAAACTCAAAAAAGCCTATGAAAAAGGTACCAGGGGCATCTCATGGGGTCCCCTACTGACCCCCTGCCCTCCGGCAGTGCCAGAGTTTCCAAATGGTCAGTCCACCCCTGGGTCTGTAGAACTACAAGAGCCAGTATGCCATACATTTGTTACACTAAAATGGCATCATCCAGCATAGACACCAGGAGATACGTGGTCTGTAGAAAATACAAAAACCAGCATGTTATGTTTGCTATATATTGACATGGCATATCATCCAGCATGGTCTAGAGTCTCTGGTACACCAGGAGATAAACGGTCGGTAGAACTACATGAGCCAGCATGCCATGCATGTGTCATACTAAAATGGCATCACCTAGCATAGACACAAGGAGATAAGCGATTTGTAGAACAACAAGAGCCAGCATGCCATGCATGTGTCATACTAAAATGGCATCATCCAGCATAGACACTAGCAGAAAATCCAGCACGCCCTGTTTGTTTCATACTAAAATTACATTGTTCAGCATAAACACCAGGAGATACAGTAAGTGATCTGTAGAACTAAAAGAGTCAGCATTCTTTGTTTGCTATATATTGATATGGCATCATCCAGCATAATCTAGAGTCCCTGATACACTAGGAGATGTGATCTGTAGAACTACAAGAGCCAGCATTCACTGGGGTTTCTGGTACAAGGTACAACATCCAGAGATAACTAGGTTATAGAACTACAAGAGCCAACATGATCTGGGGTTCCTGGTGCAAGCTACTGGTATCTAAAGATACTTTGGTTATGGAACTACAAGAACCAGCATGCCTTATTTGCTATATATTGACATTGCATCGTCCAGTATAATCTAGCGTCCCTGGTACAGGAAATAAGTGGTCTGAATAACTACAAGAGCCAGCATTCACTGGAGTTTCTGATATAAGATACAGCATCCAAAGATAACTAGGCTGTAGAACTATAAGAGCCAGCACACGCACTAATGTACCTGGTGCAAGTTACTAGCATCTAAAGATACCTTGGCTATAGAACTACAAGAGCCAGCATGCCTTGCTTTTTTTATACTAAAATGACAACATCCAGCATACACACCTGGAGATACAGTAAGTGGTCTGTAGAACTACAACAGTCAGCATTCCTAGTTTGCTATATGATGACATTGCATAAGTGGTCTTAAGAACTACAACAGTCAGCATGCCTTGTTTGCTATATGATGACATTGCATCATCCAGCATGGTCTAGAATCTCTGGTACACCAAGAGATAAGTGGTTTGTAGAACTACAAGAGTCAGCATTCACTGGGGTTCCTGTTACAAGATCCAGAATGCAGATATAACTAGGTTATAGAACTATAAGAGCCAGCATACACTGAGGTACCTGGTGCAAGTTACCAGTATCCCAAGATACCTCGGCTATAGAACTACAAGAGCCAGCATGCCTTGTCTGTGTTATACTAAAATGGCATCATGCAGCACAAAAATCAGGAGACAAAGTACGTGATCTGTAGAACTACAAGAGTCAGCACGATCTGGGGTTCCTGGTACAGCATTTACAGATAACTCGTCTGTAGAACTACAAGAGTCAGCATACGCTGAGGTACCTGGTAAAGCATTTACAGATAACTAGTCTGTAGAACTACAAGAGCCAGCATACACTGAGGTACCTGGTACAGCATTTACAGATAACTAGTCTGTAGAACTACAAGAGCCAGCATACACTGAGGTACCTGGTACAGCATTTGCAGATAACTAGTCTGTAGAACTACAAGAGCCAGCATACACTGAGGTACCTGGTAAAGCATTTACAGATAACTAGTCTGTAGAACTACAAGAGCCAGCATACACTGAGGTACCTGGTACAGCATTTACAGGTAACTAGTCTGCAGAACTACGAGAGTCAGCACAATCTGGTGTACCTGGTACAGCATTTACAGGTAAGTAGTCTGTAGAACTACGAGAGTCAGCACAATCTGGTGTACCTGGTACAGCATTTACAGGTAAGTAGTCTGTAGAACTACAAGAGCCAGCATGATCCAGTGTACCGGTACAGCATTTACAGGTAACTAGTCTGTAGAACTACAAGAGCCAGCATGATCTGGGGTACCTGGAAGAAGAGGCAGCATGCAATAGGTAGCTGGTAAAGGTTACATCATCTACATAACTTGTCTATAGAACTACAAGAGCCAGCCTGCCTTGTGATATACTGCAGCTTAGTCTCGGGTGCCTGGTACAAGTGACAGCTGGAGACGGGTGGTCTGTAGGACTACAAGAGCCAGCCTGCCTTGTTATATACTGCCAGCTTAGTCTCGGGTGCCTGGTACAAGTGACAGCTGGAGACGGGTGGTCTGTAGGACTACAAGAGCCAGCCTGCCTTGTTATATACTGCCAGCTTAGTCTCGGGTGCCTGGTACAAGTGACAGCTGGAGACGGGTGGTCTGTAGGACTACAAGAGCCAGCCTGCCTTGTTATATACTGCCAGCTTAGTCTCGGGTGCCTGGTACAAGTGACAGCTGGAGACGGGTGGTCTGTAGGACTACAAGAGCCAGCCTGCCTTGTTATATACTGCCAGCTTAGTCTCGGGTGCCTGGTACAAGTGACAGCTGGAGACGGGTGGTCTGTAGGACTACAAGAGCCAGCCTGCCTTGTTATATACTGCCAGCTTAGTCTCGGGTGCCTGGTACAAGTGACAGCTGGAGACGGGTGGTCTGTAGGACTACAAGAGGCAGCCTGCCTTGTTATATACTGCCAGCTTAGTCTCGGGTGCCTGGTACAAGTGACAGCTGGAGACGGGTGGTCTGTAGGACTACAAGAGGCAACATGCACTGGGAGTACCTAGCTGCAGTATCAACAAGTAACTAGTTTGTAGAAGTAATGAGCCAGCATGCTTTGTTTGCTATACACTGACGTTGCATAATCTGGCATGGTCTAGGATCCCTGGTACAAGTTGCTGCAGGAAATATGTGGTCTGTAGAACTACAAGAACCAGCATGCCCTGTTATGTGGGAACACGTTGCATAATTACAGATAACTAGGCTATAGAAGTTAAAAACCCAGCATGATGTGAGGTACCTGATAGAAGTGCCAGTATGTGATAAGCAGTCTTCTGAACTACAAGAGCCAGCATGCTTTCAGGTATCTGGAAAAAGTTACAGCATCTACAGCTAACTGGAGCCTCTAGTACACCAGGAGATAAGTGGTCTGTAGAACTACAAGAGCCAGCATTCACTGGGGTTCCTGTTACAAGATCCAGCATGCAGAAATACTAGGCTCCATGCACACGGGGCATTGTAATAACGCTGGTAAGGTTA